GTCAGACATTTCTTTAGTTTCTCAAAGCTTTGCTGACATGCATCGGTCCATACAAATTTCACATCTTTTCTCAGAAGTTTGTTAAGTGGAGTTGCGATCGAGGAAAAGCCTTCAACGAATCGTCGATAGTATCCAGCTAATCCAAGAAAGCTTCTCACTTCACGAACATTCCTTGGAACCTTCCACTCGGTGATGGCAGATATTTTACTAGGGTCTACCTTAACACCTTCTTGAGAAATCACATGTCCCAAAAACGTAACTTCATTAAGCCAAAATTCACACTTTGACAGTTTGGCATATAGTTTATGTTCCCGTAGTATGCTGAGTATTATCTCCAAATGTTTCACATGGTCTTCTCGATTCTTCGAATAGACAAGAATATCATCGATGAATACAACCACGAATTGATCAAGATAAGGTCGGAATACACTATTCATGAGATCCATGAATACTGCTGGAGCATTGGTCAAACCAAAGGGCATTACCGTAAACTCATAATGACCATAACGGGTACGGAACGCAGTCTTTGGGATGTCCTCTTTCTTTACAGGGATTTGATGGTATCCTGACCGTAAGTCAATCTTAGAAAATACAGTGGATCCTCTAAGCTGATCAAATAAGTCATCGATACGAGGTAAAGGATATCGATTTTTGATTGTAACTTTGTTCAATTGACGGTAATCGATGCAGAGTCTCATCGAGCCATCTTTCTTTTTGACAAACAGGACGGGTGCTCCCCAAGAGGAAACATTCGGACGTATGAATCCTTTATCGAGTAGTTCTTGTAGTTGAGCCTTCAACACTTTCATTTCAGCAGGAGCCATGCGATAGGGAGTTGCAGATATCGGTCCTGTTCCAAGAACAAGATCGATGGAAAATTCTACTTCTCTGGAAGATGGTATACCAGGAAGTTCGTCAGGAAATACGTCAGGAAATACGTCAGGAAAACCACATACTGTCGGTATGTCTTTCAACTCAGGAGTTTCCTTTCGTGTGTCACGTACGTTACACAGATAAGCTTCACATTTCTTTCGAATGAGACGCCTAGCGTGTATGTACGAGATGAATTCAGTGGATCTAGGTGTCATATTCTCTTTCACCTCTATGGACTTTCCCTCTCCAGACTTTAGTTGAATTGCTCGTCGTCAGCAATCGATAATTGCTTGGTGTTCGGTGAGCCAATCCATTCCGAGGATGATGTCAAATTCTTTGTACGGTAGTTCGATAAGATTGACAGAGAACTGATGTCCTTCAACAATCAATGGGCAGTTTTGATACACATGATCTAACCTCATACTATGTCCTAACGGGTTAGACACTGGTATAGGTTGTTCTAAATGTTCTTTCATTATGTCAGCTTTTTCAGGCATTTGTACACAGATATAAGACAAAGTTGATCCGGGGTCTATCAACACATGCATGACAGTATCAAATAAGGAGAACATACCCTGGATGACGTCAGGGTTCTCCTCAATTCGTGCTTTCATTGCATATGTACGAGCAGGAGCTCGTCCTTGTTGTTGGTTCTGATTTTTGGCTGGATTAGACCCCGCTGCTGAGCGTTGACTTGGTGCAGGTCGTGCCGATGCTGCTTGACTAACAACAGGGGCAGGTGGATACGGTTCTCCGGGGTTTGTAGGGCACTCCTTTCTAAAGTGTCCTTGTTTTCCACAGCCGAGACACAATCCTGCTTAAGCCAGCATTCTCCAGGGTGATTCCTTCCACAGTGCTCGCAAGCTGGATACCTCCGCTTTTTGGACTTATCAACGGAGGCCATCGACTGAGTTTGTACAGGTTTTCCCTTTTTAGAGAAATGTGAATTGCTAGGTTCTTGAAAGGGCCTTTTCCCTTTTGAGGCAGAGCCGGTGGGACGGTGAGTGCTTGAGCTGACATTATTTGTCTTCAGATACTCAATGCAAGCACTCAAGTCGCTGTCTGCCCTGGCAATGAGATCGTAGGCCTCCGCGAAATCTACAGTGGTTAGAACGAATACACGTGACCTGAGGTCAGGTCGAAGTTTCTTCCTGAACTCCTCAATGCGATCGGTTGGGGTATTTACTAAGGTTGGTGCAAACTTTGCGAGTTTGGTAAACTTCTGACGATATTCAGGGAGTGTCATGTCTCCCTGTTCCAGTTCAACAAATTCCTCACGTCTTTCCTCGCTAAATCATTTCGGAATATATTCTTGCTTGAATGCCCATTCGAAATGTGCCCATGTCCACGGCTTAGGGGTTCCCGCACTCTCATCCGTCCTCTTCCACCACTCGTAGGCTTCATTTCGAAATGTGCCCATGCCCATTCGAAATGTGCCCATTGTCCATGGGTACATTGAGATCTTCCAATACTCGGGTAGTCTGCTCGATCTAGTCCCACGCAATCTGGGGTTCACCGATGCGATCCCCAAGGAATAAATCTGCACCGTTATCTCTTAGCGTTTTGTAGGTTATCACTCGAGGTGGCGGTGGTGGAGGTGGTTGAAACATTGGCGCGTTGGCTATTTGTTGCAACACATTAGCGAGAAAAGCTGGAATCACAAAGTCGGGTTGACCACCAGCGTTTGGGTTATTCCCAACATTGACGGGTTCATTTTGGACGGGAGGGGTGAAACTAGATGCTTCAGTATGAACACTGTGCACAAGTAACAACGGAACAGGCACCCGCCTAAGAACTGAGTAAGATGTTATTGTCTTTAAGGAAATAATCCTAAGAAAATAAAATCATCAACTCAAGTACTGTCCTTAACGTTTCCTAATGTTGTAAGCTATGTTAATTTGGATTTGAAACAAACAACGAGAAAATTTCTAAACGTTTGCATTCGTTCGATTGGATCAAAACGATTCTACAGCTGGGTCTTCTACGCCCGATCCGCATACGCTATTTGCAGAGTCTATGCTGAATGTCTCTTCCGGGTCATCCCGTTCCAATGCAGCCTTGCGGCGCAAATAAATCTTTCGTTTCATTATTCGTGCGAAGCGATGGGCGCGTTGATAACGTATAGCGAGTCATATACATTTCGTTTGTTCTTCCGTCTTTTACCATGTACGAAAGTGCGACTTGAATCAACACTTGATATCATTTCCGAATTAACAGTTGACATCTATAAGGATTTAATACAGTCAAATTCAATACTTAATTTTTTTTTTTATTACCTTCCTGGAGCAGAGGGATGCGAGAGTCGTGGATTTGACCGATTTTTTTTTTTAAAGGCCGAAAATATCTATATCATATATGTAATTTTTTTTTTATTATTATTTTGATCCAAAGATCGGTTTTAAAACCATTTGCTCCGATACCAAATTGTAACACCCTAATCCGTCCAGGTCTGCAGCCCCTTTCGGACTAAAGTATTAACTTGGTAATCGTAAAAATTTAAAACATTTTAACATCTTTATTTATCATAAAATAATATTCCATTCATAACAGTAATAAATTACGGAGTTTTTAACCATAATGCAGAAGCAATTTAAATCATGTCTCATAACAATTTAATTTAATCATTTTAAATCATAAATCCACCACGATCGCCTCGCCCCTTCTGCTACCAGGAACATGTCAACTACACGTTCTGCCTACCTGCGTGTAGCAAATAAAACACACTACACGCTCAACGGTGAAGCTGAGTAAGCATATCTAAAGCGTCGAACATCCACATAAATTGAATCCAAATTCATAATCAAATTATTTGATATCATGCACAGAGTATTCAATAATCAATATTCAACATTCGTCATTCAATATTCATATTCAACATTCAACATCCTCATTCAATAATATCCTTAAACTATTCTTAGTCTAAGGCCAATTTATTTGATGTTTACCAACTCTTAAACTAGTTCTAGTTTAAGGTACCTCTATCCAACTCTTAAGCTAGGTCATTAGTTTAAGGTACATATATTCCGATTGATATACCAACTCTTAA